ATGATAGAATTAATTTCATATTTTATAATTAGTTTTAATTATCTTCTATACTTTATTATCTAATATATGCACATATTATGTAAATAAAATGGAAATTCTATAATTTGGAGCCCATGCAAATGTTTCAAGATCCTACTAACAATATGACCGGCTCTGGATACACCTCGCCCCGGACAGCCCCTCACAGAGAATAAACAACACAAAATATAGAAATTGTGTGATTTGAAACATACTTTAAACACTACTAAAAATAGTCTTTCATAGAAATATTAGGAGCCCGCAGTTTATATATTTATGGACACAAAAGGGTTTCGTTTGGGTCGGTTATTTAATCAAAGGAAAAGAATTTACGACTTGCGAGGAGCACACACCATAACCCCTACTAAAGACGGATGTAAATGAGTGTGTTATATAGAAGGACACATGTTGTCTTATCTTTACTTCTAGAGACACATTATATTTTTGACATATTTTTTCTGTACGGACATCCTTTTTATAAACGAAAATAACCTTGATTTTGTTTGAGAAAAAAATGTTAGTTTTAAAGAATCAACTAGATTTTGACCCGCGCTTTTACAGCGCGGAATTATTTTGTTTACAAAGCTTGATTTATTATAAACTGCAATTTCTATATATATATATATATATATATATATATATATTAAGTTTTAAATAGATTTACTTAAATAAACATTTATATGTCTCACATTTGTTTTAGTTTATTTCTCGTAAATATGTTTTTTCTCACAACGTAAAAAAAGGGCACGCTGGGTATTAAAAAAAAGATAGTAATAAAAAAAGTTTTGTATGGTTGTGATAATAATTAATAAAATTCATACTAGTTGAGTTAACTTCCCTTAAAAATATAGTAATATGACTTTTTTAGAACTTAAGGATTTTATTTTGAGAAATGGCCTCAAATAGTCATATATCAACTTTTTCTTCAATATCTAGCCTTTAATGCCAAAGTCACAAAATATGTTTCAATTAAGATGGCCAATGTCCATATGAACCTCCTTTCACTACATTATTAATTAGATCATCAAAAGTAAATTTATCCTTCTTCATCTTTGATATTTCGTCGTCTTCCTTTCGAGTTTGCTGCAGACCAGTATATCTCTGTCGGCTCATCAACGTTAGCTTCTCACTGTGGTCTGATCATCGTCCTCAACTCATTGGAAAACTCGTCATTATTTTTAATCTGATTTAATAAAAAACTAGATTTTGACTTGGTTTTTAGTTGACAAGTCAAAATCTAGTTTTTAGTTGACAAGTCAAATCTAGTTTTTTATTAAAAATGATTAATAAAATTCAGATTAAAAATTAAAAACTGTTTTATTAGTTGATAATTCAGTTTTCTTTCTAAAGAAAATAAAGAGACGACAATTTTAGTTTTTCAAATTTCCTAAATATTTTTTTGTAGACTTCCTTTTCAAGTTTTCTAAATTATTTTGGAATAAAGCCCAAACTGGAAAATTATAATCTTTACAAATTTTGGTATTTTAAAAAGGAATAATTCGAAAAAGCGAACATGGTGGACAAAAAATAATTTTGAAAAATAAATATAATAAAAGAAATCAATAAAGGCTGTTCAAGAATATTGAGAGAGGAGTGCACAAAAAGTAAAAATATATTGAGAGAGGTATTATTGTAATTTAGGTATTTAATATAGATCTACATATACCCAATATCACGGACATGAAACTCACAGGTAATTAGGTTATTCGTGGCACCAGAGGATGCAAAGATTATAGAGAGTATACCTTTGAGTAAGCATCGACTGGTTGATCAGGATGGATGACATTTCACGACTAATGAGAGATATACTGCTAATCAGATTATCAGGTAGAAAGAGTTTATCTAGATAGAGAAAAAGGGGAACCGTTTTATGGGCCCACAGTAATTCCATTAAAAACTCACTGCTGGAAAATTCGCTGTCCACCGAAAATAAAACATTTTCTTTGGCAGTTAGTTTTGGGTTGTATATCGGTCAAGAAAAACCTGCAACGTAGGGGTTTGCAAGGTGATGTCGAGTGTGTCAGGTGTGGGGCGAGTTAGGAATCCATTAATCATGTGTTTTTCGAATGTTCCCCCGTGGTACAAGTGTGGACACTTTCAAAAATCCCGTCTCATCCAGATATTTTTCCAGCTCAGGGACTGTTCATAACTATGGATTAACTATTTTGGTGGTTATCCAAGGAATTGGAAAATCACCATTTTGCATGAATTTTATGGTGAATTTTATGGTGTATTTTGGTGGTTATCCAAGGAATTGGAAAATCACCAGTGAAACATTGAGATTAGCAGAGACAAAAAGTCTGCTTTGGATGAAGGCTCAAGCAGCAGCGGTACCTAGTGGAGCCGAACCGGGGAATTTAGTTTACCTTCGATATCGGGACTTTGGTGTTTTATGTATGGATCATGGAAAGCTAAAGAACCTTTTTCTGGACAAGGATGGTATAGCACATTACAAGGTTACGAGGGTTTAATGGGAGTAAGGAATACGAGAGCAAGTATCTCACCCTTACATTCAGAAATTGAAGTTCTCATCTGGGCGATGGAAAGTATGAGGAATTTACGGCAATATCATGTTATTTTTGCGATGGATTGTGTTCATTTGGTGAAAATAATTTCTACACCAGAAGAATGACCAGCATTTGCGATTTATTTGGAAGACATAAAGATCTTTCGAGAGAGTTTCACTTACTCACAGCTCATTCATATACCCTGAACGATGAATATTAAGACGGATAGTCTAGCACAAAATGCCAGAAAACAATTGTCTATCGTTATTCATATGGATACAGAGTTATCAGGGTGGTTTGCAAAGTTTTCGTAGAGTCAGTGTAGCTTGACGACAAAATAAATATATATACATATATAGATCTACATACTCGACATATGCATGTAATGTCAGCGCGTGTCGGCCGTCGAAGTCGGCAACCCCCTCAACCCTCCCTCCAATACAATTCAAACATCTGTATTATTCTTATTTGCTTAAGTAACATCAGCCATATCGAAGTTTAATAATTAATTAACCAACTCTTTTATTAGTTAGAAGTATAACTGTATTTGATATGTATTGTACGGATTTATCATATTTAATGAGTCTATCATAAACTCAAATCTACAGATTTAGAAGTACAACGCTGCAATTTTTAATAGCAGTTGATTTTTTTCCAAAAATTAATCTCTTTAAACTGCGTTTAAATCAAATTTATCTTTTGAAAATGTTAGACCATTTTTAAAACTAATAGCCAATATATAAAATTATATGTAATTCTTTATTTTTTCCAATGTTAACAATCAGATCTTAGAATTTTTTTTGTTTTTTAAATCATAAGACTTCTTATTGTTTTGACATATTCATCCAAAATATAATAAGTCCATCAGAAAAATAACAGCCGACCATCATATATGTTTTATTTTTATTGACTGCCACATTTGATAAACAGAACATAGATAATATATGCTAAAGAGCATTTACAGTGTCAGAGTTTATAGAGTTATTTATGATAAAATAAAGTAGAAAAGGAGCGAGACCAAAAAAAAGACGTTTTCTTTTGAAAATCAATATTTTGTGAAATTCCTTTAACCACTTGTGAATATGTAAGGCTTAAAATGAATTAACTAGTTCATTTTAGTAAGAATTAATTTGAACATATTAAAATAATAATACTTTTTATTTAGAAATCCATTTCGAATATTTCAGCGTTAGAGGTGCTATAATTACAGTATAACTCTATATCGAAACAAACAGTGATTAATTTACAATATGAATGTCGGTGAAAACTGGTCCTCTCGTTGGTTTGACCATACACTACAGCGACCGAGCCATTGTGTCAAAATATCTACAAAATTATAAACTTGAAGATCATAATCAATTTCTTTTAGTAAGTAATGATCGAGAATAGAACCTCAATATTTTTCATTTGAATTCTTCAAAATTGCATTTATTTTTCAAATAGTTACACTGCATTTTTTATAAAGACATTTTTGTATTTAAACGACCAAACAACCATAATGTTTTTCTCTTTAATCACATCCAACGACCACAATGATTTAAAAGAAATAATGAGTATCTTGAAGAAGCTGTTTCTTTTTGTGTTTAAATAATTAAGATGTCCCCTTAATAATACCGTTGCTAATGCAAATCTAATATTCAAAATCATTTGAAAAAAAATACTATTACCATTTTGATTAAACAATAAACAGAATCTTTCTTTTCACTAAAAGAATAAATTTAGAAATGATAAAACAAAGCTGTTTGTGTGCACTCACAAGTTTAGGCTTTATTTTGACTTCAAAGAACTTCTCGATCCTTTTCTTTTCAGTTTTCACTTAATATATTTTTTTCTCTTCAAAAAATTTCAATCGTTATTAGCGATAGCCAAAACTCATTCTCTCTAATTGTTGAGATCGAGAAGTTTGCCTTGAAAATCTCATAAACTGTAATATCATACCGTGGTGGAAACTACCCAGAAACAGCATCTCAAGAAGAAATAATCTCTATACTAATGCCTCTTTTAATGCTCTTCTTTTGATTGGTTTATGATCAACTCTATCGTTGTCCTGCCAACTTCTATCGGATGCAGATCAATGATTCATGCTTGGTATGTGGACTCCTCTGTTTCACCAGATTTTTATGTTCATCTGCGTTTTTTTTTCTAGGAGCTAGCCAGTTTTTTTTGGTTCTTGTGTTATTGTTTTCTTCCCTCTGTTACTTGTCATCCAAGTATCTTCTTTGTTGATTTATGGGTTTTGTTATCTTGATGATTCTGCATATTTTTATCTTCTTTGCTCTGTTTCACATTTAAGTCTCGTTTAGTTTTGTATTTGTCTGAACACAACACGTTGCTGTTGAGAAAACACTGACCTGGGTTGTGTTTCTAACTTCTCACTGATGATCTGATCCATGTCTCTTTTTATTCTTGTAGTATTGAATCCTAATCCTACATAGAGCTATTGTCATAGATATAAACGGCGAGGATATTGAAACAATGGATGCTAATGAAGTTGAAGAAATTTTCTTTGCCCCTGGTGATGCCAAGGTATATGAATCAAGTTCATATCCAATTTTTGTTGAGATCTCTCCCTAAGACATTTTCTTGATCTTGTATCTAGATGTCTATCTATATTCTTCTTTGTTTCATCTTGTTTACACCTTCTATTACATTCATAACTAATGCTTTCATTCTATGCGAAATCTTCATAGTTTTTGATTTGTTTGACTGATCTTGTCATAGTTTAATAAGAACTGCAACATGTCTTATCTTTGACTGTAAGTGTAAAGAAGTACTAACAGATTCCTGTTATAGGTACATGGAGAAATGTGCAATGCCCTTTCAGTGATCTACTGCAAGATCATGTCTATTTTCCCCTCTCTCGAAGATGCTAGGCCAAGAAGCAAATCTGGAATTCAAGCTTTGTGTTCACTTCATGTAGTTTTAGAAAAAGTGAACAACATTCTACGCCATTGCACTGAATCTAGTAAACTATATTTGGTAACCTTTCCTTTTCTATTTATGTCTTTAAAAATTTTCAGTTCCTTTTTTGGGAGACTCCCTAGCTAACCAGCTCCTTTGACATGTAGGCTATAACAGGAGAATCAGTAGTTTTGAAATTTGACAAGGCGAAATCTTCTCTCATAGATAGCCTAAGACGCGTTGAAGACATAGTCCAACAGTCCATTAGTTCTCAGGTAGTTATAGTTCTCTGTGTTCTTCTCTCTTAGTACTTTTGTTTTGTACTTCTTGTCTTTATATCTTATATCTTTTTTCAGATTTTGGAGATTTTGATGGAACTGGAGAACACTCAGTTCTCACTTGATCCAATAGAGAAGGAGATCAGCGATCAAATCATTGGATTGCTGCAACAAGGAGGCAAATTTGAGAGCTCATCAGAAAATAATGAACTCGAGGTTTTCCATCAAGCTGCTACTAGACTAGGTATCACTTCTTCAAGAGCAGCTCTAACAGAGCGCAGATGCCTCAAGAAACTCATAGAGAGGGCAAGAATGGAAGATGATAAGAGGAAAGAATCAATAGTGGCTTACCTTTTACATCTCATGAGAAAGTACTCAAAGCTATTCAGAAGTGAGATGTGGGATGACAATGATTCACAAGGTAGTAGCTCATTGCCTTGTTCACCGACCATTCAGGGATCTCTTGATGATGCCCCTGGTCGTGCTTTCGACAGACAGCTGTCAAAACTGAGTTCATTCAACTTCAGACCTTGTAATAACAGCAGGAGATCTTCTGTGCAGATGTCTGTTCCACCAGAAGAGTTGAGGTGTCCGATATCATTGCAGCTAATGTATGATCCTGTTATTGTCTCGTCTGGACAAACCTATGAGAGAATCTGTATTGAGAAATGGTTTAGTGATGGACACAACACATGTCCTAAAACTCAGCAGCAGCTCTCTCATCTATGCTTGACTCCTAACTACTGTGTCAAGGCTCTAATCTCTAGTTGGTGTGAACAGAATGGCGTTCAGGTCCCTGATGGACCTCCAGAGTCTCTAGACCTTAACTACTGGAGGCTGGCATTTTCTGAGTCCGAGTCCACCGACAACACGAGAACACCAAAAGGTTTTGTTGGTTCTTGTAAGTTTAAGGATGTGAAGGTGGTTCCTCTGGAAGAAAGTGGAACTATTAAAGAGGAAGCATGTGAATCTGAATACCAGGAAGCTGAAGTTACTCTTGTTGAACAATGTACAGATTTGTTGACCACTTTGAGTGAAGTGGATAACTTAAGGAAGAAGTGCAGAGTTGTTGAGCAAATACGAGTACTGCTAAAAGATGATGAGGAGGCTAGGATTCTCATGGAGGAAAACGGTTGTGTTGAAGCTTTGCTTCAGTTTCTTGGAGCAGCTCTCCATGAAAAGAATGATTCAGCTCAGAAAGTTGGAGCCTTGGCTCTCTTTAACTTGGCTGTGGACAACAACAGGTATTACTAAATTCTCCATTCATATTTAAAAACAGATTTAATGTTTTGGAGTTTTCACACATTAAGAAAATATCTTGTGTGGACTTTCAGGAACAAGGAGTTGATGTTAGTATCAGGAATCACTCATCTACTTGAGGAAATGCTATGTAACCCACAGTCCCATGGTTCAGTAACAGCACTTTATCTAAACCTCTCTTGTCTTGAAGATGCAAAACCCATCATAGGTTCGAGTCTGGCAGTTCCTTTCTTGGTGAATCTTCTTTGGACAGAGACTGAAACTCAATGCAAAGTGGATGCCCTTCACGCTCTTTTTCACCTCTCCACCTACTCTCTCAACATTCCTTGCCTTCTATCTGCTGACATCGTCAACGCTCTTCAATCACTCACCACTAGTGATGACCAACGATGGACGGAGAAGTCCTTATCTGTCTTGTTAAATCTTGTTTTGAACGAGGCAGGAAAAGACGAGATGGTTTCAGTACCTGGCCTTGTGAGCAACCTCGCCACGGTTCTTGACACTGGTGAAGCAAATGAGCAAGAACAAGCAGTTTCATTGCTTCTTATATTATGCAACCATAGTGAGATTTGTAGCCAAATGGTTTTACAAGAAGGTGTGATACCTTCTTTGGTGTCTATCTCCGTGAACGGGACTCAACAGGGAAGAGAGAGGGCGCAGAAGCTGCTGACACTGTTTAGGGAACTAAGGCAGAGGGATCAAACCCATCTTACAACAGAACCACATGGAGAGGTGACAAGCCAAGAAGAGAAAGAATCACATGTAACAGAGTCGAAACCGCAGTGTAAGTCAGCCTCGAGAAAAAAAATGAGAAGAGCATTCAGTTTTCTGTGGAAAAGCAAGAGCTTCTCAGTTTACCAATGTTGAGAGTTTGTGTTTACTTTAGTCTTGAAGACATTATTATGATCTATTTTTGAAGGTCTTGGAGACAAAACAAAGTTTGTATAGGTTTTTGTAACTGCTATGTATAAATGCAACTATTCTTGTTTTCATTTTTTGGGAGAACATAAAAGTTTTGTCAGTGGAAGTAAGCCCCGTTCTGGTAAATCCCGTTAAGGGACCCAAGTGAATTACTGTTAGATTTGGCAATATATCTTGGCTGGAGAGACCGTGAAGGCTCCACACACGCGTCTCAGCCAGTTATGTTTCTCCAAGCACAAGATTCTCTCGTTTACCAAGGCCGCATCTCTGCGGATAGGTGGCCCGGCGACTTTCCTGGACCTAAGCTTTGACAAGCCCATAGTCCAATCACTTATTCCACTGACAATTGTTGACCGCCTTGATTGTTACTCATATTTATACATTCGTGATAGTAGAAATATAGCCGATGTGGGAGGTTGCTCGTTTCTTTATCATTTTAAAAACATATAACATGAGACAAGTTATACTCCCTCCGTTTCGAATTAGATGTCATTCTAGAGGAAAAATTTCGTTTCAAAATAAATGTCGTTTTAGAGTTTTAAGACAAAATTTATTATGTTTATATGATATTCTATTTTTCTATTGGTTGAAAATTGGTTAGGTATATTGGTAATTGTGTTTTTATATTGAAATATATGTAAAATTAAATGTTTCCTTAATCTGTGTGTAAAAACCTAGAATGACAAATAATCTGAAACGGAGGGAGTAAATGGTTTACTCGAAAATAGGTCTTGTTCTAGCATCCATCTTCTCTGTTGAGTACTGACAACTAGGGAATGTTGCCAAAGAGTAATTTACTTTCTGAGTCACATTATCACTTTATCTATCATAAAAGGTCACTTTATGCTACCAGCTACCAAGACACTTTATGAGTGGTTGAATACTGAATTGTCCCTTGAAATGATAAACCAGTGTTAGTTTTAATTAGGTTTTTTTTTCTTTGGTTTTGAATTTTGAATTTGAAAATAAAGTTTAATTTTTTTATTTACATCCGAGTGAAACTTTTCTTTTATACGGCCGACGGTTGCCAAAAGAGCGATTCCGAATTTCATTTGACAGCGAGGCTTCAAAGGCGAGAGACAATGGGGTAATGATGACGAGAACGGGCGGGCAAGGAAGTTGCGATAGGTTAGTTTTTTGTCGATGATGCGTCGGTGTCTGTTTGTCCGTCACTGGTAGGGTTTGTCCCGATGAAGGGTTTTTTTTCTAGACCTAGTTGGCGGGTATATGTTTTGTAATGCCTAATTAATTTGAGTTTTTTTTTGTAGTGGAGGCTCCTCCTGTTGAATTTGCAAAGGAGAGGTTACCGAAGAGATTGTTCGCGACAGACGACATGATCTTCCTTTTGGACTAGAGCCGAGTCTTTCCAATCAGAGAATGTAGTCGAGTCCGTAGATTTGAAAACCAAAAAGCTTATATTACTGCTTCTTCTTGCTTCTGCTTTAACCACCACGCTTAGCATACAACAACAATCCACCATTAAGGTAAACTCTGAATGTTACTCTTTTTTTGGGAGGTTTTAGAAGAGAGATTCCGCGTGGGGTAATTAGTGAAGTAAATTCTGTATCTTTGCCTATATATTTATGGGATTTTACCTGTGGCACTTAGTTCTGTTGCCACTTGTTAATTTTATGTTTGTTTCTATGTTTTCAAAACATTTGTATTTGGGACAGTGAGTGATGAATGTGTTCGATATTCTCTTGTAGGGATGTGATCTTTGGGTGTCAAAGCATTTTTATGAGTGTACATGTGTATAGTGGTCTTGTTTATGGTTTTGATAGATACTAAGCAATCACAAATTCTCACTGATGAGAAGATGTAGGTGATTTACTTGTGTACCATGTGACAATGCACTCTACGTTTGATAATGTAAGGAGATGGATAAAGGAACTAAGGACATACGAACTGAAACATAGTGGTGATGCTTATGCCGAGCAAGTGCAGCTTCTATTTGTGTACATGTAGATTTTAAAATTGGTGTACATGTAAATAACGCAAGATATGTACACATTTGTGTACTATCCATATGTACACTGATTAGCATGTACATATCTTGCATTATTTACATGTACATATGGATAGTAAAACATGTGGATACTTGTAAACTGATTCCTATATCATTCATGTACAAGTTCCCTGGATTGACAATGGATCATTCATGTACAAGTTTGTAAACTGATACCCTATTTCATTCATGTACAAGTTTCATTCATGTACAAGTTCCATTGATTGACCAAATCAAAAACTGAAACAAGCACTTGATCAGCATGAGAATAATTGTTTTCTCTCATCATAACTACATCGTATCCTCCTTTTTGTTGCTGAGAGTCTGAGACACAGAACACACAAAAGATTCAAAGGAAGGAAAAGCTTGAGACTTGAAACCAAACAATACAATCTTATCCAATCACAAAATCAAATGGATCCTAGCCACATTATAATGAACATTGACTCGAAATAACTTTGTCCGGCCAAACACATTTGTCTTGAATCACTTTAAGAAAACACTGTAGGAGTATTTTTCGTTTTGAGGAGTAGATTTCCTACAAACCAACAGCGACAGAAAATCCACACACACATGATGCTTGATATTTCTGACGAAGAAAAACCATAGTGCGTTGATAAACAAAACAAAAAAGATAAATTTTTTTTTTTTGAGCAACCAAAAAAACAAAAAGAGAATTTAGAAAACAGAAAAAAGGTGTTTGGACTGTACAACTGGACCCGTTTTTTTTTTGTGCAACTGGACCCGTTTAGTTAGGATTATATGGTGGAAGAAAAAAGAGAAAAAGAAGAGTTTGCTGAGAAGTATTCGTTAAAGGTTGTTCAAAAAAACTTATAAGAGTTCAGAAATGAGATATTGAATCTCAGAATAGAGAAAAAATGACGAAGTGGTTTTAAAAATGATAAACAAAGGTAGAAAATCAGAGGGTTTGTTGTGTTGAGAGAGTAAAAATATGTGTACATGGTTCGAACTTATATTTATAGAGTGTACACGGTTCGAGTTAGACTATCAAGTTGGAACGGCTATCAGATCAAGTGTCGGGTCAATGTAGTTAATCACTTTCTTTAGAAGTATATGCTTGCTGCTTGACAAAGCTTACTAGTGTTTTTGATCGTCTTCCTCTTCAAATTACAAACCGGAAACAGCGGACTGAACGTCCATGGATATATATTCCTATCTTTCTTTTCTCTAATTCATGGAGTTATTTTCACATTTCACATGTTAGATATAACACATTTAAAACTTGATCAATTGACTGTGAAGTAAGGACACAATTTTAAGAATATTTTTTTGTCGATTAGGATAAATATTTGAGTATTTAGAGGATTTTATCGTGTCTAAATCAAGTTATGTATCTGGCATGATTCCCTCGATACTAGGGATCGGGTTAGTCTAGTTGTCAATTTGCCTTGTTCTCTGATTGCATGATCAACTGTGGCCAGAATCTTTTTTCATGACCATCAAGTTTTTAGATCATATTGTGTTCAACTGTGTGGCTACACTACTGTGGAATAAGAGCATAAAGCTAAGTTATCCAAATTATGGACTATTGATTCTAAAGATCCAATGTTCAGTACTACTTTTGGTTTTAGATCCGTAAAATAAATAAAAAAGTTTTATCTGACTTTTTACAAAAACCTATAGATACCACATCGTGATATATATATACCGTTTATGTAGAAAATATCATAACTATCTCAAAGAAAAACTGCATTAACTCAAGATTTTTCTTACGATTTTTGGTTGCAATCTTGTCTTTAAATATCCGACTCAAATTGGCTGACATGAACCCAAATGCCAAACGCTAATGATCTTTCTTTAATTTTCTTACTTAGGTTTGAAATTTAAACTAGATCTCGAATATGCAGACATAATACTTTTATGATATTTATTAATAATCATACTATATAATTTAAGTTTAAAATTTTTAAATCAGACAATAATTTATACTATTTAATGAATATTTTAAATTACTTAATTGTTAATTTTTATTGATTCAAAAACATTATTTTTTTGGATAACAGCATTTAATATTTTTTTTATTTTAAAATATGTTGTAATTTTTAACCAGTTTTACTATATTAATTTATAAACAATTATCTAATTAAATTATAATTCTTAATATAAAGTGATGTTATTAAACCAAATATTTGGAATTACCAGAACCTACAAAAATTTAAAATAAATTGAACCAACTTTACATATTATTATAATCAAAGTATAGCAAACTATTGATATGTATATTTATATTGTGAAATACCTCCCATAATAACTGGAAAACACTCAAACAGACCAACCATGTTACAAACAAAACATTAATATGTAACGTATGAGATAAAAAATATTTTTTTATCTATTGTTATATCCATTTCTAAATGTTATAATAAAGAAAAATATGATATATTAAATCTCTTCTTTTCATTAAAATAGAGATTGCTATTTTTATACAAATTAGTATTTCTTTGCTATAAAATTGTAATTCTTATTTTCAGATAGTTTTTTTTTTAACTTTCAGACTTTAATAATTATAACTAACACAAATCATTTTGGAAAACACAGTTTTATATAAGAAATAGAAACACTGTTTTTTACATAATAGCCTCTTAAAGAAGTTTTAGTTTAGAAGTTTTAGTTTAAATAAAGTTAGAATTCTGTGAAATTCTTGAATTTTTTTATTAATATAAATACTTGTTGTAAATAAAAAAAATAATATTTTGAAAATATTCTCTTTTGGAGGCAGAAATTTTGAAAATATTTTAAAAAGATAATTCCCTTCCTAATAAAAAAATATTTTAAAAAATAAAAAGAAATATTTACTTTTGCATCGCAAAAATCATGTTAACAAACAAAATAAAATACAATTTTATTTTTATTGCTTATAGCTCTTTTCAGTATTTTAATAGTAAAATAAATTTAATAATTTAGTTAAAAATATGCCATG